TCTGAAGCGGTGTTCCATGGTAGTGCAGTTTCCAATGTTTGTCACAGAAAAAATTGTCGAGGAGCTCGAACACTGTAGCACAGTTCCTAAAAATTGGCGGTAGAAATTTACAAGCTTTAGAAACTGGCGCAGCTTGGTTATTGATGTCGTCTAGGGGAACTTGACGATTTATTTCACTTTGTCAGGAAGGGGGCTAGTTCCACTGATGTCCGAGCGATGACCCAGAATATCAAGAGATGACACTCCTAACTAGCTTTTTGCAGTGTTCACAAGAAGTTCGTTGGTTGAGAGGTGCTCCACAAGTTGACGGATGCGTTGCAAGCGCTCCTCGAGGGATGAGCTTGCCACCAGCAGGTCGTCGACGTTGGCGAACACAAACGGCAGACCACGTATGACCGTTTCCATGAACCGCTCAGACGTTTGTGCAGCACTGCGGAAGCCAAATGGCATTCTCTTAAACTCAAAAAGGCCGAATGAGGTTGTAATTGTTGTCTTTGGAACATCTTGTGCAGCAAGAGGAATTTGGTGAAAGGCTTTGTTTAAGTTGATTTCAGAGAACACAGTTGTGTCATGTAGAGCTGACGTTAAATCCTGAATGTTAGCCAGGGGCTACCAGTCGGGGATAGTTTTTGCGTTCAGGAAACGGTAGTTTCCACATGGTTTCTATTTATCTGACTTTCTGGGGACGAGGTGGAGAGGAGATGCCCTGCTGCTTGATGATGGTCGTATTATTCCAAGTTCCGACATGTGTTCAAACTCAGCCCTGGCTACTTTAAGCTTATCTAGAGCAAGTCGTGGTGGCCGAGCGAAAACACGTTTCCTAGTGGTGATGACATGGTGGCGGACATCATGTTGCATCGGTTTTGCACAGTCAGCCGGTTGCGTGATGTTTAGGAATTCTCGAAGAAGTCCTGCAAAACAGTTATCGGCTACTGTTGTAGTTGGGGGGATTATGTTCGAGTCGTGGGAAACGAATCCATGAACAGAGTGAAGTTTAGTAGTGTCTAGCAAGTGTTCCCATTTCACGCTCAACAGCAGTCCATGGTGTTTTAAGAAGTCAGCACCAATGAGGGCACGACGTACATCGGCAACGAAAAAATCCAACGCGAACGCGCGGCGTAAGCCTAGGTTCAGATTGAGTGACCGCGATTTGTATGCGGGGATCTTGCTACCATTGACAGCTTACAGCTCGAAGATCGGGGGTATTGTTTATCGTTGGGTCAGATTTCGGGCAGGAATAATGCTGATCTCTGTACCAGTGTCCACCAGGTACTGCTGGCCTGTGATTTTGTCCATGACGTGAAACAGGCGACGTTTAGGTTGGCCGTCACCAGTCCTCTATATCAATGGTCAGCCTGCCTGTTTCCCTACCACGAGCAAGGGCAGTGATGCGCATCCTGTTCAAAACAGCAATAGTGGTGTGGGGGACTGAGAGCGTTGTGTGCGTCCATAACGCGAGGAGCTTCGGTTGCGGTTTCGCCGACGTGAAGTGTTGTAATGACGCTCCGCGACACAAGCTAGTTGTTCTAGGTGATCGCAAAGCACGTCGATGGGAGAAGCAGGGTCGGATGGAGTTTGTGGAGTGGCACTCACATTGTTGAATGACGGCGTGTCCACCTTCAAGACCTAGTGCGCCAGGTTGGCCAAACAATTGACGTCCAACGTGAACGCATTGTCTAGTACCAGGTGATTGCAAAGCATGTCGATTGGAGAAGCAGGGTCAGGTAGTGTTGGTGGAGCGGCACTCGCGTTGTTGAATGACGGTGTGACGTTGCACGCAGACGGTGAGCCCACCTCCAAGACTTTGTCCGCCAGGCTGGCCAAACCGTTGAGGTCCAACGTGGAAGCAGTACCACTTGCACAGTGCCACGAAGGTGCTGCAGAAACAGTTCTCGCAACAAGTTCTCCTCAGTAGGGGTGGTGTTTCCGCTCTTGAGTTGACGCATGTAACGAAGAAGCTGGCTGGGCCGACGGTCGCATAATCCATTCATGGAGAGCAACTGCTGTATGCCCGAACGCTGAGATACCGCCGTTTGTTTCAGCAGAGAAGCCTTGAGAGTGCTGTATAGTGTGGTGGAGGGGGGCCCGGAGAGCAGATTAGATGCTTCTTCGGCAACAGCTGGTTACAGCGCCGAATTAACGAGATGGTACTTCTGTGGTTGCGTGCGTACGCCGGAAAGCCTTAATTTTGACTCACCTTCAATGAGCCAGATCGATGAGTTGCGGTCCCAGTAAGCTGATAGTAGGAGGGAGACCGCAGACACATCATGATTGGTCGTGCCAGTAGCTTCCATGTTTAGTTGCGTCTCGCTGCTCTGCATGACTTTACAATATTTAGACAGTGCCGCGAAGGACTATGGGTCACCACTTCGTAGATCCAGGTTGTACGAGAAGGAGACGTCTTTTCAGTAACAACGTGTACTTTATTCTGAAAACCAGAGATTCAAAGATAGAGCCGGTGGACGCAGTGCACCGGAATTGCCAAGAGTGAAAGAGACGAACGAGAAACAAAGACGACAGTGGCCCGTTGCTTGGAGTGCTGCTCCGCAGGTTTTTTAATGACAGCGGGGGTGTGGGGTGGTGGCCGCGTCGCTACAATACCTTTAAGGAATGCTACAAGTTTCCGAGTGAGTTGGGTCAGTAAAATTTGGGTGAGTTTGTTTACGAGTGAGTTCGAAGCGAAAATATATTTATTAAGCGAGTCTGATTGAGCTGCACAAGCTTTACCGCCATCTGGGTGCATCGACGTTAAACATGCGCTAGCTGTTCAACACAAATAAACACCGATCAAGCTCTCATCTATCGATTATTAGTACAAATTCACAGCTTCTGTAAGGTCACGTTTTACTTTTGCGCTATTCAAATTCTCATGACAGAACTATAAACCACATTTTAGCAGTGAAACGCCTTCTAGCTAAGTGTGATGAAAACTTGACCCTATCCTCCCTTCCCGTAGCTACCCGCTAGTACTCGGAGTGCTTAATAAAGGCACAAGTGCATTTCTCGATTTTTGTTTCAAACAAAATTCCCTTGCTCTGCAGCGTTCGCTTCATAGCGCTGCGTCCTCTAGTTTAATATGACACCGCTAGAGGGCTGGCATTACAAACAGCAGTTACCCGCACTTGCTCACGCGCGCTTTCTCTTTTCTTGGGCAGACGTTGGTCAGTGCATTTCGGTTCTGGAGCTTAGGGCTCAAGAACCCGAAACGAGACGCCAGCGTCGTGCAGACCCGGGGTTCAGAGCCCAAGAAGCTGACGCGGCACGGGCTCCTCACGTGGGCGAAATATAGATGGAGGCTCCGGCATTCGCGCAAGCAACTGAGAAGTGGCGGATAAATTATTTGCGTGTGTAACATTTTACTTTCCCGTGTTGGTCACGTCATCACATGATGATCAAGTCTTAACAAAAGTTTTGGAATTATGTATGTTTTTGACAGCTATGACAGTGCTCGCTATTTGTGTTTTGCAAACTCTTCAATTTTAAACCCGTGCCCGGTCTTTCGAGCTACCCAGTCTCCCTCAAGGGCCTTTTAACATCTTACATGTGCCTTCTTGCGTGCCCACCCTTCACGGCATCCACTTGGTCCTACTGATCTGGAAGTCACTTAACCGAGAGCAGGGTAATAGCATTGGCTTCAGCATGACGTTGAAGAAGCGCGAATCATAGCCCACTTGCCGATGAGATCTGCTTCAGGGCAGCACAGTTTACCCTAGATCTCTAAGCTTTCCTTCCTTCCCTTGCTTTCACTGTGCTTTTCTGTGTGTCTCTCTCGCGTTTTTCGTCACACCGTTTGTTCCACGGTTTCCGATACAAGATACCGCCAATTTAAAAAAATAGATGCTCCTTTTAATTCTAATTCATTCTTTACAAATGAGAAGCAGCAAAATCAACACCATATGTCTTTGGAGAAGCTGTAGTTAACAAAGATATTGTCATGTGCTGGTGACGTCGATGAAGGCAACCTTCGACGTGTTCAAAATGGAAGTGTTTATTTGACTGAATTATTGGCCGGGAATCTGAAGCAAGAAAAAGTGATGCACGGTCTGTACTGATATTTGCGGACGCAGCATGGCTGCCGGAACATAAACAAGAAGGTGACCCCGTCGGGTTTTTACACGTATCTTCGAAAACTTTCGCGTTAGCGCTAGCGGCCACGTGAGTCCGCAAACTAGTACTGATGTTCCCGTTAAGTGGCTGATCTAATCAGGAGTTTTTAAGATTACTTACATATGGTTCCCCTCATTGATCATGATATGTGGTGTTTAACATCCCAAAGCCACCATATGATTATCAGAGACACGGTATTGAAGAGCTCCGGAAATTTCGTCCTCCTGGGGTTCTTTAACGTGCACCCAAATCTGACCACACGGGCCTACAACATTTCCGCCTCCATCGAAAATGCAGCCGCCAAAGCCGCGATTCAAACCAGCGACCTGCGGGTCAGCAGCCGAGTACCTTAGCCACTGGACCACCGCGGTGGGGCAATTCGCTTTCATTCGAGCGTGCTTTGCACAAGAGAGCAGTTTCATTGAAGAAGACGGTAACGCGAAAATAGAAAGAAAGGAGTGGTCGGGGCTAAATGTTCACTCATGAACACTGTAACAGACCGGACTATCTGCTATCAGCATTCGCCCTAGGCGATATCGTCTCCTCCTCCTCTCCACCGTTTCGTGCGCTTTACGTTCCTTCCTTTTCCTTCTTTCCCCCTTCCCCGCTGTGAGCGCGGCTACTTAAGCCCAGCAAATAAACGGCCAGGGGTCTTTCGTCATCGCGAGGCCCAGCCAAGTGTTCATCGTCGTCTTGTCTCTGAGCTAAACGTTACAAACACATTGCGAAGACTGTCTGAAAGATCTTTTTTGTTCGTTCAATCGAGTGCCACACTGGTGACATCGAAAAGGGATTATCTCAGCCTGTTTTCTCTTGGACTATTTTAAATATGGTGTAAACAGTTACTTGTCTTAGCGTGAGCGGAACTAAGAAGACATGAAAATAAGTGATACCTGTGTGAACTAAGTACCATGCTGCATTTTGTTCGCTCCTTGATGTCGATCAGTCGCTTGTGGATATGGGTCCTGGCGAGCACGTCGACGCCAGCATACGGCTCATCCAAGAACACAATCCCAGGTAGGCCGATCAACGAGATTGCGGTAGAGAGCTTGCGCTTGTTTCCATCACTTCAAAAAAAAAAATGCGATGAATTGAGATTAATGTAATGGGAATAAAAATAAAGGTATAGCGTGATGTTGACATCAAGTGCGTAATGTAAACATCTTTAGAGAGTTATCAATGAACATGCATCGTGATTCAAACTAAAACTTCAAACCGTTGACAAAGAACAACCAAGCTAAAAAACAAATCTTTTAAAACTTCTAGCTTTCAACGTATATGACTCTCTGGAAAGATGCATGTCATCTTCCGTAGGTGTAATTAAAGTATGTTGATAAGTCGAGGCATCCCCGAAAGTGCTGACGAGTCTTCTGAAAGGAGGAAATACGTGGCAAGGTAGGAGTTCTTGAAGGAAGACGCAAAGACTTCTTTTTCTTAGAGCGTAGTTACTGTTTTGCTAGCGTGCGTGCTAATAATACGTGTGGCATTTATTCTCAAACAAAAGCAGCAACACAAACAAAGAAATCAGGCTATTTGTATGTTTGTTTTCTTGCGGTGATCCTTCACGATGGCGCCAGCAATACGTCCACTAATTTTAACAAATTAGGTTACACCGACTGCCATCAGCCACCACGAAAATTTATAGAATTATTGGCTGCCACTCTTTCTTCAATGCAAAAGTGTTGAATTGTTATGTTCGACTGAACACAGCACGAGTACAAATGTGGTCGCAGTTGTTTTGTTGTTTTCCCCTTTCGTAATGGTAGGAGTGTCAAACTCACCTCAACTGGCAGCAATCATTCACAATGGTTAGTTCCATAAAATGCTTGGCCAATGAATAGAGTTGTCTTAAAGTGAAGGTGTGGAAGAGTTCAAAACACTTTCCCGTATCTTCCATGAGAAATAACTCACTATATTGCTACGTAGCTGACTTATCAGGAGTCAGAAGACGACAACGAGAAAGTGATCTGTCGGTTGTGCGTGCTGTCCTCCATCTTAGTCGACGCTATACACATCACTTTCAGTATAGATTCTAAATAGACACGCCTCGTGTCATTTTTACGAACATACTTGTGGTGGACGTGCTGGGTACTTCCCTGTCTTCATCACAAAGCTCTGCAACGGCCCCATCATCCTAGGTCCAACCATACCACAGGTTGAACAGCCATCGTCTTCACCACCTGCCCCTTCCGTGGCTTCTACATACGTAGTTCTACCTCATGCTCATGATCCCGGTGTATTTTCTAGGCAGGATGGCGTCGACGTCCACAAATAAGTTAACCGGTACGAACGGGTCAGCGGTGGGAGCCAACTCTTATGCTGGCCAATGCGCTTTTTTACCTTGATGATGAGCCACCACGAGTGCGGTTCGAGACGCACAAAGCAAAGATTACAAGCTGGGATTTCCTCTTAAAAAGAAGATCTGCGACCTTTTTGGCGCCACCGTTGGGCAGCAGATCGCAGCGTGGAATCAACTGGCAGCTCGTGCACAGATGTCAGCGAAGTCGTACGTCGCGTACATTCACGACGTCTTCGCCCTATGCCGCCAGATTGACGAGCACATGACCTTGTCCATTCTATTTCATATATCCCAGGCATAAGTGTCCATTGTTTCGTGCACTTCAATCTAACAGGTTCTTTAAGGCGTCGGTCAAACAATTGGAAAACAATAAGAGACTACTCACGCGGCGATTATGACTCAATCAACAGTGAACTCGAATCGAATTTTGAGAGCTTTGCTAATGGCTTCTTTGATCGCAGCGTTCAACAAAACTGGAACTTGTTCAAAATGAAAGTTGAATCTTTAATCACGCGATACATTCCTACATACGTTATCAAGGGTCGCCAACGCCCCCCTTGGTTCTCAACTGACTTAAAAAAATTGCGGAATAAAAAGAAACGGTTGTTCCGTCAGGCAAAGCAGACTAATTCGTTAGCCCGTTGGCACGTGTACAAATCTGTCCTTTCCGAATACTGAGCAGCTATCAAGGAAGCCGAGCGCGTTTTTCTTAATAATACCCTTCCCTCAATTCTTGTAACCAACCCTTCTAAGTTTTGGAAAACTGTTAAACCTAGGGAAAAGAAAAACATTTCGCTTACGAACTCAGACGGGCAGCCAGTTCGCTGTGAAGAGTGTTGCATTGCATTAAATGATTTTTTTGTTACTTCCTTTTCAAGTTGTTCTGCTTCTGCGTTGCCGCAAATGCCTTGTCGTGATTTTTTACCCATGTATCCTGTTACCGTTGATGCCGTTGGAGTGCAAAATTTAATTCACAAGCTTAAGTTATCCTCTTCTTGTGGCGTAGATGAAATCAACTCAAAGTTTCTAAAAAACACTGCATTGTATTCATCAATTTACTTGTCCTTAATTTTTTTGCAATCTATTCAGACCTCTACTTTGCCGCTTGACTGGAAGGTGGGGAAGGTGGTCCCTCTGCACAAATCTGGTAACACACAGTCTCCTCTCAATTACAGACCAATTTCCCTAACCAGTGTTCCTTGTAAAATGTTAGAACATATAATTTACTCCAACCTTGTCTCATTCCTAGAATCAAATTCTTTTTTTACTCCCTACCAGCACGGATTCCGAAAAAGTTACTCATGTGAAACCCAACTTCTTTATTTTACTAATGACATAGCATCGGCTTTAGATCACGGCTCACTTGTGCATTGCATTTTTCTTGACTTTCAAAAAGCTTTCGATAAAGTTCCTCACCAATTACTCCTCCTGAAAATTAGTACCTTAAACATTGACCCGAACATTCTTAAATGGATTGAATGCTTTCTGACTAATCGCACTCAGTTTGTAACAACTAATGGCTATAACTCACCTCTTTCTAAAGTAACATCCGGCGTACCCCAAGGTTCAGTATTAGGCCCTTTACTCTTTCTTATATATATTAATGATCTCCCAGACAGCATTAACTCCGCTATAAGGTTATTTGCAGATGATTGTGTAATTTACCGCGAAATAAACAATGAATATGATAACCAATTTCTACAGTCAGACCTTGACACTGTCTCAACCTGGTGCAATAAATGGCTTATGACTCTCAACTCTAACAAATCTAAATGCATGTCAATAACCCGGCGATCTATTTCTCCCCCCTGTACCTACAGAATTAACGCCGTTCCCCTCCAGCATGTCTCTTCATATAAGTACCTCGGCGTTTACATTACCAACAATCTATCTTGGCACACGCATGTTACCTACATCTGTAATAACGCTAACCGAACGCTAGGATACTTACGCCGCAACTTTTCTCGCGCTCCGCTGTCCCTCATAATTCTATTGTACCGATCACTAATTCGCCCAAAGCTTGAGTACGCGTCCGCTATATGGGATCCCGTGCAGCAAAATTTAATTAACGCGTTAGAATCTGTTCAGAACCGCTCAGTTCGGTTCATTTGTTCTAATTATTCCCGTACTGCTAGCATATCAGAAATGAAATCTAACCTTGACCTACCCAATTTAACTGTCCGGAGGAAACTGGCGCGACTGCATTTTTTTCATAAGATATTTTTTCACAATCCATCAATGAAGCAAGACCTCATTTCACAACCGTCATGCCACTCATCGCGCATTGATCATCAGCATAAGGTTGCCATTCCGTTTTGCCGCACCAAATTATTTTCAGCAGCCTTTTTACCGAAAACAGCCGCCGATTGGAACCACCTTCCCTCTTCCGTTGTATCAATAACAGACCCTTTGTTATTCAAGACTGCAATTTCTCAGCAATACTTGTAACTATACGCAGTTTTCATTCTCTATCTTTGTCTTGTATGTGCTTGAATTCTTATACATTTTTAGTTGACTTATGTTGCCTTCCTGATTTGCGCATCTGATACTTGTTTTTTTATTTTGTCCTTTTTTCTTTTGTGTTATATATGTTGTACCCACCCCCTCTGTAATGCCCTACGGGCCCTGAGGGTATTCTAATAAATAAATAAATGAGTGAGTCTCAGAAAGTAGCCCATGTGCTGAAAGGCATACCAGATGACGCCTTTAATTTTCTAGTATACAACAAGGTTGCCACCATCGACGCCATCATTAAAAAGTGCCGGCGGTTCGAAGAAGCCAAGAGCCGCCGTATTACTCAGTGATTCACCCGGCTGCCCAACACGGCCGCCACCTCATCGTGTGAAGCCACCCGCCAGCCTCCCACGTATGACAACGTCACGCGCATTGTTTGTCGGGAAATCGAAGCCACCTGTCCGGCTCCTCTTCAGCCACCCGTTTTCGTAACGCTCGCCTCTGACCAACAACAGCCGTCAGTGGCATTAATACAAGCTGTGGTGAGGCAGGAGTTTGCGAACCTCGACCTTCCATCAGGATGTCCCTTGAATCGCCCTGAAGTACCGTCTTACTCCCCAGGACTCGCTTGTCGTTCGCCTTCAACAATGCCCTTCCGTATCCCTTCGGTATAGCGAACACCCGATGACCGGCCTATTTGTTTTTCCTGCCACCAGCCTAGGCCCGTTTCTCGCTATTGCCGCCACCGTTGGTTAAACCAATCACGTCCGACCTTTTCTACCTCGGCGAACATGCATCCGACGACCCCACGACGTTCAGTCGCCACACTCTTCAATTTCGATGCATCGTCATCTTACGAGCCTTCCACTGACGCTTCTTTGCCCGGTCGCCGCTACACTGACTCCCCTTCGTCCAGTCGCCGCATCTCACGCTCCCCGTCGCCGCTACGTCGCCAATCCCGCTCTCCGCCACCCCGGCGCTTTTCGTCGCCGAGTTTCTCTGGACTACCGCAGCAGGAAAACTAGATATTGCAGCTTATAGAGTTGAAGCTGCAATACCAATGACGGCCGAAAATCCTGTGCTGACGCTACTTACGCAGCACAGCCTGCTTGAAGTACAAGTCGACCGTGTTCTTGTGACTACCCTAGTTCACACAGGTGCGCACCTGTCTATTATGAGCGCTTCTCTACGCCGCCGCTCACAAAAGATTATGTCGCCGACTACGAAGCAGGCAATACGTGTTGCCGATGGTGGTACAGTACCAGTAATCGGAATGTGCAATGCTCGTGTCAACATTGCCAGTCGTCATGCTGT